ACACATAGTCATAACATATGATTTTCCCAAAAATATTTATTTCTACCAAACATAGTTTTGCAAATAATTATACCTAAAAATAGCATTTTGCCCTCAAAAACCGCGCTAAACATAAATTTGCCACTCTATTTCACATAATTTCCAATCATAGACATTTTATATTAATATTATAATAGTTCAAAACAAGCACAATAGTTTCAAAGATATTCACACAACTATCCAAACACGCAAATAAGGAGATTAGATAATCTGGTTACCTCAACCTTTTTGTCACTAAAAAGATTACCATGGTCAACTAACAGCTCCACACATATTCACTAGCACCATAATGCTTGACCGAAGGCTAATCTATAAGATTAAACTCTTAATTATCAATCTACACACTAATTACCTCATTTTTAACACAATTGTGAGTACCCATTTTATCTAAAACCTTAATTTAGCCCTAACAATTCTTCCAATGCACTCCATTAATTAAATTTAACACCCAAACATATAGACAACACCATTACATTATTCACATTGCTCTTAATCATCCAATTTCTACCTAAGGTTTGTCCAAACCCGAACTAAAAACTCCAAATCACTATAAAATCTATAAATCTAGGTTTAGAGGCTTGATTTAACTCCTTAAGGCCTTAACTAAGGCAATGAGTTCATTCATTACCTAAGAAAACACGAAATCAAAACCCTATAATACCTTAAACCTCAGAAGATTCAAACGTAGGGAAAGGGAGAGGTGTAAGGAGCTTACTTAAAGCTAAATCATGCCCCAAATGCTTCCAAAGTACCCAAAATCGAGCCCTAGCACCTACTGATCATTTCCCATCACCTCCTCATGCTCTATCTTATCCTACTTTTGATTTTTGTTCTGATTCGCAAACTAATAAGTGCAGATTTTATATGTGAGCCGTGGCACATTGGTTCAACCACGTGGCACATGGCATAAAAAGCCTTCTCCATTATTAAATCTCCTCCCATGCCATGGCCTGCTCAAACTTTAATTTAGCCCTCTTCTAAAACTGTTTAATGATCAATTAGCTACATTAGTCTCCCCAAAAACATCATTAACCAAAAATTCACTTAATTTGACTAAAATACCCTTATAAACACTAGAAATTCCTAGAGTTGAAATCCAAGATGCTACAGATGATCTAACATAAAGCTTTATGATTTCATAAAAACAAAAATATTTCCAAGTGAAGATGATTGGTATAAAGATGGTTACTGTTTCTTTAAATCCTTCTATAAAATTTTAAGAAGTTATGGTCTCCACAATTGTTGATGGGAAGATATTGAATATGGCTTATTTTTTCCTTTAACCATCTGTCTTCAATAATTCAAACTATACATTCCATATCTTGTAAAGATGCTAATGCATACATGTTTAGAGCTAACTATATGCAACATGTGGGACGATTACTCCACGCAAATTATACCAACAACATACCAAGAAAAGTCATGCTAAGAACATCTAAGAGTTGAAAGTTACTTAGGAACTCCAACCAACTATTCCAAAACCCTAATCACTATAGTAATCATTTAACAGATGATTAATTCAAGGAAATAAATGAAGACAACATGATAGATATTATTTACCACGCACTTTAGAGTTAGGGGTTGAGATAGGATTTTTAAAGCTGAAGATTAGTTGCAATTTTATGTCTTACGAACTTCAATTTCGTTACATCCTATGTTCAATGTCGTAGCCATTAAAGAAGTTACCCTTTTAGCTTTATTTAGTTAGTTTCTATTTATTTTTAATATGCTTACCTTTATAATTTTACCAGTAAAAGTATAATAATATGTTATAGCTCTTTAAATCCATTAGGCTGCTTTACTGTTGCTTCATGTTTATGATATCTTACTAGTTCTAGAAAGATAAAAATACAAAGATACAATAAATAAATCAATTTGAAAACAATCCCCTACAAATTGTAGCTTAAATAGATAAATTGAAACTCTATAAAAAAATGCTCAAAAATCATTTAATGATACTTGACTCCAAAGGCATCTCTTCCTATAGGGTTAAAAAAAAAAAAATTGTACCTTATAGCAACATTCAAATATATAGGTATTCATAAATTCTAAATATCTCTTATTATGGGTGTCAATTTATAATTTTCATTCATTGAAAAGTTTCAAGTACTAGTATATTAAATCAATAACCTCATATATTTATAAATTTATTCAATTATTAAACTATTTCATATTGTAAAAATATGAATTGTATAATTAACAGAACAAAATATGATTCTTTATGATAAAGTAACATATGACACTGGAAAAGAATTTAGAAAATTAGTATTTGTATATCCTCATTTGAAATCGTTATCAGTATGTATATACATTTCAATTGAAAGGCCATAGGACGATATTGAAGTTCCATATAAACTTAAAATAACAATATCGCTAGTGTTTTTGAATATCTTTGAATGTTGGGTGTTCAACTCAGATTGAGGATGTGATAAATGACAAATAGGGAACATGTAATTAAAAACCTTGATCAATTTGATATGTCCAGACATCCATAGTCGACATCCCAAACACAAAAGTAATGGACTTAAAAGTACATAAAGTTAAAGAGTAGGGAAAAATGGCAACAAATCCATTACAATAGTCAATCAAAAAACACTGGTGCATAATGGCATTCTAACATCACAAATTCCTTAAGACTTCAACATCTCAATCAATGCCCTGCGAAGAGGAGCCAACTCCTAGAATATCGAATCATAAAAAAGCCTTGGTACACCAGCTAGTTCATAGAAAAAACATATTTCTTGTAACAAATCAACAGAAGACATTTAGAGACACTTTGAAGATATATCTAAATAGGACAAAAAATATACCACCCTCCTTTACAACCATAGCATACTGAACAATGATGAAAAGATTTTTTGAATTCTTAATCATCTCAATAGAATTACATGCAACCTTAGCAAAGTCACCATATAGCACACATTGAATCATATTTTTCTATGGAAAAAGAGAAGTGCTCTTAAGGCTACCAAGTCATAAAAATATGCTTAACATATATGATAAAACTTGCTTAACTCGCTATCTAACACAAGAAATTCAAAGTTTCAAGTGATTAGCCCATTTGATTTTGTAAAGGCGGAGGCTACCAATCCTTCTAATAAAACCCATCATGTTTGTAATATGATTAAAAAATGATGTCAATAAAGAAAAAAATATCATACATCATATTAGTTAGCTTCAACCAAAAGAAGAAATGACTATAGTTTTGAAACTGAACCTTAGGCCACCACTCGCTTCTAATATTAAACATAGACATGATTTGAAATAGATGATTAACTATTGGGAATAGATATTCATGAATGCGATCATCTTAGGTTGCAATTCTATATATGATAATGGGGATGGATAGCCAAACCACCATGCAACCTTAAAGTTATGTATAAAGTATGTGAGCTTCTTCACAAGTTGATTACAAAACTAGTCAATGAAATTATCACCAATTAGAGATATTATCACTTGACCACTGCACAACAAATGAAAATAGATAAACCAACTACATATCATGCTTAAATCAAGGAAATGACGTATAGATAAAAAAAAAAAAAGAAGTAACTATTCTTGATATCATCACAAAAATTTATTCACAGAAGTATCAAATGCTATCAGTTCAAGTGATATGACTTTCTTTAGCAAACCAAAAGCAATATTGTGTAGATCTACACTAGATCTCGTGAAAACCTTATCAACCCTCACAATGACCCCATTTTCAACTCCTTTCAATAATGGATTAAAAGTGTCAATCATATCATAACCCAAGGGAATCATCAATCAAAGGCACTAGCCAATTATAAATAAAGAAACATTGGAAAGAAAGTGAAAGTAAGGGATAATATTCACATTCACAGTCATATAAAGGATAGGTTAAGGTGATAAAAGATTATAGAAAAAAATCCAACCTAAAAAAAATATTATGAATAGTTCTCACTATCTCAAAATCTCACATATACTCAAAATTTTTGAAAGGGAAGAAATTGTTTTATTAAAGGCTAAAGGGCGTTGGTATAAGTGAAGGAGGGTGAGCTATCCAACCAGAAAATGACTCATCCAAGATGTTTAAGAAAATAACAAAAAGGTCCTAAAAAATTAATTAATTTAAATTAAGCTTCAAGCATCAAACTCAAAATATTTGTAACTGTATTGTGATGAATTTATAACTTATTTTTTAAATTTTAACATGATTAAAGAATAATAAAATTATTTTTTCCATTAAAATTTGAAATACAAGTTGTAAATTTATTATAATAGAATTGTAGATTTGAGAGATTGAGTTGCAAATTTTTGAAATTTGACACTTAAAACTTAATTTGAATTAATTGATCCCTTTAAAACCTCTCTATCATTTTTTTTAAAATGTTCAGCACACAACCCAAAATGAGTCCACATTAAAGAACGCAGCCATATTTACCTAAACAGCTCTATGAACAATGAAATGAGTCTAAAGCCATGAGTGAGCGCATTGGCTTGGTGGAACTCTATTTTAGGATGTATTGATTCTACGCATAAGAGCCTATCAGTTGAAATTAAAATGTGTTTATTAACAATAATTGTTTTAATTGGCTCCATGCGAATTTTCTGTAAGCAAATTTCTAAATCTTGTCTGATGGTCAAAAAAAGTTTAAATCTTGTCAATAGAAAAAAAAAAACTGTCATTAGTGGAATTTCAAATCTACGAAATTTGACTTTATTTAGATTAGATTGGAGATAATTTAATGTGATTTTAAGGGACCGGCGAATATTACCCAAAAAGAAAAAAAAGTTAAAACATTGTTTAAAAAATTAAAATAATAATAATGCAGAACTTTTTTTTTCATATATTTTTTCGTTATTTTAATTTTAAAATATTAAAACTGAAAAATCCAAAAAATCTAAGTCGTGATATTTTTTTTTTTGGACATCAAATTATGGTCTCGACACTCCATGACTTCAATCCATTTTCACCGTCCGTTATAATCATTCATCAACCCCATCGCTCTGCATTTATTTCACTCTCTCTATCCTCACTACCCTCTCCATTTCTTTTGGTCTTTCTTCTGTTTCCATCTATTAGAGGCAAAGATCGAAGAAGACAATGGCCACCGTCACAATTCTCTGATTTACGTCCATATCCTTCGTTTCTTCTTCCTTCTGAATCTCTTCACTCTTCGGCTCCCACACAACTGGATCTGACCCACATTTGCTTCTTCGTCTTCATTCAGCAATGGCCGCAGCCTTGGAGTGTTGGTCAAGCCGTGCCAGTACGGACGAGGAAATGGTGGAGCAGGTTCTGATGAGGACGCAGGATAGATCCGAGGGCGAAACAACGTCAGAGAGCTCTTCCACTGCTGGTGGACTCAAGGAGACCTCGCAGATGCAAAAGAAACTGCAGAGGCTGAGTCGGAACGTCACCGAAGCAATAGCTTCGTTCAAGAACTCGCTCAATCTGGATTCTTCTCGTGACCCTGCGCCTCCTTCCAAGGTAGACAATTCTCGGAAAGTTGTGTGGGGAAGTGTTGTCCGGAATCTTACTCAGCTTTATCCAGGTAGCCAGCTGCCGGAGAAGCTCATGTCCAATATTCGCAAGCATTACGATTCGCTGCCTCTAAGGTGGGGTTCTGGTGAAAATTATATTTTTTCTTTTGATTGAGATTAGATTCAATATGGTTTTGAAAGCAGCTCTTGAACTCGAAATAAGGCCTGATTCACGGCCTGGTTGTGTTAACTTTGAAAGTGATGGTGTTACAAACACTTGGCTTCACTTCTGAGTGATTCCTTTCACCTCTTTGGCTCTTTGTTTTAGCTTTAAAACTAACTGGAGCATTCGGGTGCTAGAAATTCCAGAAACGAATATAGACGTGTTGTTCAGTTCTGATTTTCGCTTCTCATAACCATTTCTTCCTTTCGTTTTCACAGCTATGCTCAGGCGGGATTCGATATGAAAGATGTGTTTCTTCACATCAAGTTGATGGAGCAAGCATCAGTAGATGACCAACCTGCGATCCTGATTCAGGAAGAACCAGATAATGAAATTCAAGGGTGTATATTTAAGCTGACTTTTGCTTGTAACTCTCCAATTTCATGGCCATCAATGGCCAGTGCACTGGATAGTTCATGCATTTGCTGCAAGAAGATACAGATCTTTGAGAAAAAAAGTTTTACCCTTGGGATTGTTCTTCTTCTTGTTCAGCCTGGGCAAGATAAATTGATCAAAGTCCGAGTTGAGAATGCTCTAAAATTTGCGATGAAGAAGCCCAAAACCAGTGCAGTGAAGCTTCCCTTTGGCCTTTGTGGATGTCAAGAAGAGAACTCCAAGGGGAGAGAAATTGGAGAGATTGAAGAAGACAGTGGCGATGCATATTATGGAAATGGTTTTGAGAATTCTAGCCAAAAAGTTCAGCTACAGTTGCCCTTACCTACTTCCTCCATTCTTGTATCCGTAGATGAATGGCAGACAATTCAGTCTGGTGGGGAAGAGATTAAAAAATGGCTATTGAACTCAGATAGTCTTGAGTTTATAGAACAGACTGGACCCAATTCATATAAAGGGGTCCACATGGGTAGAAGGGTTGGAATCGAGAAGCTTAAAGGGTGTGATAAAGGAAATTCTTATCAGTTCGAGCTCCGTCAAGACCTGTTAGGACTGATGACCTGTGGACACAAAAAGAGTCTGCAATTTTGTGGTGTTTCAGTGGATGAAAATCATGGGTTATGTGTGGTGACGAAGTTCATGGAAGGTGGTTCTGTTCATGATTTGATGCTCAAGAACAAGAAGCTCCAGATTAAGGAAATTACAAGAATTGCTGTTGATGTGGCTGAGGGCATCAAGTTTATGAATGATCATGGTGTTGCATACAGGGACCTCAACACACAGAGGATTCTATTGGATCGACATGGAAATGCTTGCTTGGGAGATATGGGTATAGTCACTGCTTGCAAAAGTGTTGGAGAGGCAACGGAGTATGAAACTGATGGTTACCGGTGGCTTGCTCCAGAGGTTTGCCACTTTGCCCATAATCTTACTGATCACAACTTCAGCCAAAAAAAATTATCAAAATAATTGTCCCAAGCTACATGTATTGTATTTGCCATACATGGTCCATAATATTCTCTTCAAGTGTTCATTTGTTCTCTTAAAAGAGGAAAAACGCAAAAGTGAAAAAACATGCTACTGAAGTGTCAACTCCCCTTTTTTGAAAAAATGGCTCCTTCTCCATTCCAATAGTTTATCACCTAGGTGCGTCATCCAAATGAGCATGCCTTTTAGAAAAGTTATAAAAGATGGCAATGAGCTTTAGGCTTTTACCCTACTGGCTACTTCTGTGCCAAATCTTTATCTAGCGCTGATCTCTTTCTGAGCATTATTACTGGTAGAAAATCAGAATTCTTATATTCCCATGACCAGCCAACTGCATCTTCAATCAAATATTATGTGCTTGATGTCTAATTCTTATGGTGGCAGAAGTTGTCTGGTTAAGAAAATGATGAAAAGCAATAATAGAATTCAATAATATCCAACATGGAAAAAGTGAAGTTTTTCACCTCGTGTTACTGATGCCTATTTAATTTCAAGTCTCTGTTCTAGTGATTGTCACTGCAATATTTCAACTACAGTAATTTAGAAATAAAAATGTTACAGAAACTCTCCATCTGGGTGTTCTGCATGTCCTCTTCACACCTGTTATGTGACTTAACTTCCAGTCTAACGTATTTGAGCTCAATTATCCATGCTGTCTGCCCTAAGTATGCCTAAAAGACGAATTATATGTTCAACTTTAAGGCAATTTAGATTAACTTTCCATAGTTTTTATTGCCTCAAATGACTTTTAAGATCCAACGAATGTGAAGCATGTTACTAAATTTGACTACCCATAAAAGAGACTTTATGTCGCTTGTCCTGGCATCATTTGTTTGAGCATGCCTAACATGTTTTCATGATTATTTTCTCTTACCCTTTATTTTTGGTAGACCTTTATTTAGGCATTCCTGTGTAAAACAAGTTAGTGTCTCCGTGTGATGCCAATTACACCACAATTGATTCCACAATGGAGCCCGCATGTTTTAAGGCTTTAGCTTGACGCTTATCCCAGCATTCTAGTTATTGTCCTGTTGCTAAAGCTACTCTGAAAACACTCACCTCGTGTGCAGGCAGAAAAAAGAACAGATAAAAACCATCCGGTAAAGTCATTATTTGGAACCCACGTTGTCTGAAATCTAAATCTCATTTCTGACCTGGATACCCAGTGTTTGCTTTGCACTTATAGATAGCATGAGTTTCTGCTCTTGTTAGTCCTCCTTTTTATTCAATATCTCTTCTATGATGGATTGTATTGTCTTGTGTCCAAAGGCTGACTTGCTATTTTTTGTCTATTTTGGAAACAGATAATTGCTGGTGACCCAGAGAGTGTCACAGAGACATGGATGAGTAACGTTTACAGTTTCGGCATGGTCCTTTGGGAGATGGTTGCTGGTGAGGCAGCTTATTCTGCATATTCACCTGTGCAAGCAGCAGTGGGCATAGCTGCCTGTGGCCTTAGACCTGAGATCCCAAAGGACTGTCCTCAAAATCTAAAAACCCTCATGACCAAGTGCTGGAACAATCAACCTTCTAAACGCCCTCAGTTCTCTGAAATATTGGCCACACTCTTGCGTTCTAACAATAACAATAGGTAATTGTGGAATCCTTTATCTGTGGATAGTAATATTCATACCAAGCTTCTGTGTCAGGAACCCTAATGCTTATTAAATGCAATGAAGATGTAAAGTTTTTGCATGTTTGGCAATTTTGTAATCATTTCTTCATAGCATAATGAATCCAGGTGTTGGGGGTGACTTTTGGCCACTCTTAGAAATTATCTCTGCCATTATAAACTCTATTTCTGCATTATTAGGGTGTTATGAGTGATACACATACACCTGAAATTATTTTGTGAAAACTAGGATGGGGAATAGCAAAAAGCAGATGTTCTTGGGGGCCACAGCCAGTGGACTGAGATGAGGACCATCATTTATAGGTTTTCCTTTTGTTTGTTTGGTGGGTATCTTGAGGGCCCAGAAGAGAGTCATTTTCTTAAATGTGCTTTTGTGAGTTGTGAAACTGTCAAATTCTTTTGGCCTCAATTTTCCAGATATCAATCCTTTTTAATTCTGCATGTATTAAATTGAGGCCAAAAAAAGCTCTTTATGTATTAAATCTAACCAACTTTGTTAAAAGCATGTAGCTGAATGACTCTTTTGTTGACTTTCAAACAAATTATGTTTAACTTTTCTAGAAGTCTACGAGAAGTTTGGGAAGTTGTTGAGAAAGATACTCTCTTTTCTTGCCCTTCATGTATTCACCAAAAGATCAAAAAAGGAACTGTTAATATATATATATATATATATATATAAGTTGGGTTTGGCTTGGGGTGAATCTTACAATTTTGTGCTTTAGATTTTCTTTATACTTTGAAAGTCTGTTTTGGTGCTTGATTTTGTATTAGTTTCTATGGATGATGACGGATTATTATAGATTTTTAATTAATTACATTTTCGTTTTCATAGAGTCGACCAAGCCCAATAATAAAGAAAACTTTAGGAGATCCAAGATAATGGCCCGAAGAGATTATAAAAAGGGGAATGACATATATAGGTCCCGCGGGACCAGCATTCTGAAACACATGTACAGTGCCTAGGTACTTAAGGGGGATTATATGAGCAAAATCAAATTACCTACATATTCTTACTTTATTTTCCCTGGAAAATGATAATCAAAAATCTTGTGAAAACAGTAATGATAGATGAAGACCTTGAATTATGAAAATGTCAAAGAATTTAAGTTCCATTTTTAGAATTTAACAGTGAATTTCATTATTTCAAGAAAACATTAGCTTCTTTTATGAAGTTAATATATACATTATTATTGACTTAAAGATACCAGAAGTGTTTAAAGAAAAAGTATTTGAGTATTTTTATTCTTTATCCCTTAAAAAATTTCTAATTATTGAAATAATCAATAGAACATCACTCATGAATTTTTTTTTTTAAAAATATAGTTATAAATTTAAGGAATACTACTTGTTGACCCACAAAAAGTTAAATTATAAATAAATAGATAGTTTTATAAATAAATATAGTTTTATTTGTGAATTTAAGGATAATCATTTATAATTTTTTTTTCTTTTAAGATTGGTTTGCATCATGATGCGCTACTGTGGTACTTTTCGTTAGTTTTCATTGTTTGAGACGTTGAGGTTGTCATGACTTTTACTTCCTCCATCGTTGCAACTTCGTAATTAATTAGACTGGTGGGTTGTGGTAAATAAGTAATTTTATAGTGAATATTATTGCGAATATAGTTTTGAGTTTGGAGCCTGTAATTTGCAGCCTCCCATTCCTTAATTTGCAAGTTGTGTTCATGTTTTTAATGGTGAAAAAAGAATTGTAACATCACAAAAAATTAGATTAATTTTGAGGATTTGTAACTACTCTTCTATGATTTGTAACTTCGAATACCTTAATTTGCAACATTTGTACCTGTTTTTAATAAGAAAATCAACATTATATCATGAAAAATATTGGATCAATCTCGAGGATTTACAACAATTGCTCATTAAATTGCATCTTTGTAAAGCATAATTTGCAACCTATTTGCCTTGTTTTTTCAATAAGAAATCAGAATTGTAACATGCAAATTATTTAATCATTTTTAAAGATTGACAACTTATGCTCCTTGATTGGCAACTTAGTGCCCATTAATTTGCGAGTAGCTTTTCCATTTTAAATTTGAAACTGGAAGTTTAACTTAGAAGTTTAAGATAATAATGATTTGATCAATCTTATGGCCATGCAATTTCTATTCATTTATTTGCAACCTAAGGAATTAAAATAACTACAACTACTTATTTGTGACCCCATATACCTTGAATTGCGGCTCCATATCCCACTTTTATTTATAAGCATAGGATTTCAACATAAAAAATGATAAAAAAACATACCTTTAAAATATGTAAATGATAATTAAGTACTAAAAATGTGATAATTATTATTTAGTTTTTAGGGACTTGTTTACCATTTTTATTTTTAATGAAGTGACTTGCAAATCCAATTACATTACTTGAAGTGATCTTTCTAGAATCAATTTCACTAGTCCTATTCAAGTCTTTGTACACTTGTAGGAGAGGCTTATCACCTCCAAAACGAATCCTCATATCAGTAGTACTACAAAGGCATATCAAAATCCATTTCACAGCTTTTCAATGCTCTCTACTTGGGTTTGATAGAAAACTACTAACTATACCAACAATTTCTATTATATTTGTCCTTGTACACACCGTTGTATACAACAAACTTGTAACATCTTATCTTAAATCATGCAAAAGACTCATTTATATAATAAAATCTATCGAGTTGTAAAGTTTTGGGATTCCATTACTAAACAAGTGGGCCTAGTGCAGATGAAGCCCAAGAAAACACCCAACCAAGCTCAATGTAATGTAACAATTCAACTGAATAATATTCATTAATAATGTTCTCGGTTTCCTAGTTAGGGCTCAACACAACAAATCTCAGATATCCAATTAAAGGCTAAACATCCAAACAAGCCTCAAAACAACAATTGTAAATATATGTTTACAAAGCAAAAGTATATAAAAGGAAATCATAGGTCATGGCAATAAAAGAAAGTAATCGTACACATGTGAAAAGCCTAAAAGCAACAAAAAGAGTCCAAAAGCTCAATTTTCTAACACCTTCACTTAAGACCTAATAAAACCCTAACTTAAAAAATGTTAAGAGGTAATGAGTGAGATCCAATGTCTTTGTTATATGGCTATACGAAATTACTCTAGTAGACCTTCTCACAACCATTATGATAAACAATATGCACATTTTTCACAACAATTTTGCCATTCATTTCACAACTTGGGAATACATTTTTTAATAAACATAATTAAATATAATAACTAGCATAGATAAAACAATGATACTTATCCCTTAATGCCTCCCTCCTAACCTAATTCTACTAGCTAGAGTCTTAGTTTGAGGATACACTTAGTCAAAAGTGCATAGCCTACAAATTTAGTCTCCCTTTCTTAAAAGGAAGTTCCTATGTCCTAAAATCCCAGGCAAGGAGTGTGGCCTTAAAAGAGCTATCATTTGTGGATCCAGTGATGATGTACCATGCAACAATATACAAGAGACATACAAATCTCCAATATACTTGCCATTATACAATCTAACCTTACCCCTTACAAGTACATCACATCAAACAAATAAGTTTCCAAAACACCCAAGCATACTTAAAATGGACAAATTATAAATCATAGTTTACAAACAACTAATGTAATGCCCTCACCAAAATTATCATATGTTTCACTACAATCAATTCTAATCAATTCAAAATTGTTTATTTTGAAAACCTTGAGATCCCAAGAAAAGATTCTCAAAATCATTTCATAAATTACCTAAGTTATAAAACCCTACACACAACAGAAGCAATTTACAAGGCTACATCTAAGTCGAAGAGAACATGTGCATTCCAATGAAATTAAGGCAAATTTAGGACCATGCGCCGCAGCTCATGCTATATGCATAGCAACATGTGGCACAGAACCACAGCGTGACACTCTGTGTTGTGTGCCGTGGCGCACACACCTGATTCTATTGTTATTTTGCAAATTTCTGATATGAACTTTAAAAGCGCGCTATTTCTTCATTCAATGTCCGATTGGAGTAGTTCAAGCACCCATACGAAGCTTGTTTCGTAATCTAATTAATGACACTAGTTTTGCCTCAATTTGCTTTTTTTTTTTCAAAAATTGAGCACCTAAGTGCATTTTGACCATTTTATACTAAAATTTACCACTCGAGCATCTCAATTTGAAACCAAATGTGATTAGCCACTTTTTTGGGCCTTAATCATGTCCCAATAGACAATACACACCTGATTGACCATACACTTGCACAATATAATACATACACATATTTAGCCTGTAAACCACCCATATAACACTTTTGGGCCAAAATTGCATTTTTCATCCTTAATCTCATACAAGGCCAAATCATCACACATACTTCAAATACATTTCATATTCACACATATACACATTCATCTACTAGCCTACTCTATCATTTCACCATTCACACATATCCACAAGGGCTAGGGAACTCAAAATCACCAAAAACACAATATTCACACATAATGCACATGTACTCAATTCCTATGGCAACTTATACACAAGTTCATAACTAATAATGTATAGATTCATTATGCTAATTCTTACAAAAAACTTAGGAAAGAGATGTCAACTCAGCCTATGTCTTTCCCTTTTGATCTATTAATGCTAGAATCTAAAAAACATAAATAACCATGGGTGAGATAAAAAATCTCAGCAACTAACATAGTTCGTCAAATGCTTATTATTACAAATAACCATGCCAAAGTAACAAAATTAAGGTAATATCAAATATATAGTAAAGTATGAGGAAATTTCATCTTTTCAAAATATTTCCACATTAATACACACTAACATAATCATCTAGCCACTGAAACTCTAATGCTTCCCAACACAAAACCATAGGCTCTCCTAGATGAATCACTTATTGACCCGAGCACACTTTCAGTGGTAGAAACACTCGGCCGAAGGTAATATAACCTACCTACAGACTATGGTTTCCCTCTTCACACACTTGTGATAGAGGCGTCATTGACTCCTAACTGTACCCTAACGAGTATTAAGGAGTTGCCAGACTACCCAGATGTCTCATGATAATAGTTTCATAATATATTGTACCGAATTACCCTTGATAACAACCCGTATAATGCTGCACTAGATGTCCCATGGTGCTAGCTCGACCATATAGATTTTTCATTTACTTATCCACACACACACAACCCCAAATGTCTTGGGTGAACTCTCACCCTCTATGATCATGCCTTTTTTACAATTTTCACCATTTTCTTTCACATTTCCATACCATATACTTTCATAACATATATATATATATATATACATATATATCATTTGAAATCAATGGCCTTTTAAATTTTGTTTCACAAATTGATATTCATGCTAAACCATTTTCCATATCAAATCATGCATAAAACTCATAAAACCAAATTTACTATTTCATATTTACTTCTACACAATTATAATAGTTAACAAACATAACAAACTATATGATTACCTTAAACCTTCCATCTGATAGAAAGGGTTACCCGTGTAATTTTCCTTACTCAAATTTCTCTTCGCTTATTCACATTTCACGCACTAAAAT